CAACCCCACAACTGAGTCATTCCTCTAATCCTCAGCTTCTTCAACTGTGTCTGGGGATACTGTATGTCCCTTTCGGAGACACTGTGGAGATTAATCTATGCAGAGCACACACTCTGGCCCTGGGGACAAGAGGTGCTCCATAAATGCTACCTTGTTCCTTCCCTGGGGCACTTCTTCCTAAACTTTAAGATTCCTAGTCCTACAGATAATTATGCTGCCCTCTGCCTTCTCCCACTTTACCAGGCCACTCCCGGGGTTTGTCAGTACACTACAATTCAGAGATACGAATATTTATCTTTCCAGTAAGATCTAAACGGAAAAAAATGGGTAGTGGAGTCTTAACTCAACCCTGAGACATCCTTCTCCTTTAGTGAAACACACCCCTGGCATTCCAGCACAATACTCAGTACTCGATATATTTCCCCTCAGAAATGTTCTATACATTTGCTATTTCAGTGTGGAGGAGTTGAGGGGATGATCTGAGAACCTATCACATGCAGTGAACACCTCATAAAGTGCAACTCAGAACAAACAGCTATTGGGGAAAATATGTTTTTGGTTCCAAGCAATTAAATAATTTAAACCAGAAACTTCTACAAAATAGCCCATTAATAACTTGACTGATTGCAAAACTGACTCTCGAGCTATACACTTACATATTTCATCTAGTAAGAAGCATCTGAAAATTCAGCTTTCGCCACTGGATTTTTTATTAAGAAATACATTTAACAAATTAATATAAATATGTACTGTTGTGAAAATGGACAATAACAAATTGCTTGAAAATAAAGAGGGAAGGATCCTGTGCTTCCCTTCAGTTTCCCAGAATTAAATATTGTTAGCGGTGATCATCAAGGACAGTGAGGGCTGCTGAAGGCTCCTGAATTGGTTGGTAGGCTCTTTTTCAGATCTAAGCTTATTTAACTATTCAAAACCCACATAAAGGGAGAAACAGGAGAGCAAAAGATGAAGGAAAAAACAACTCTGCAGAACCGAACAGAAGTTTGCACAAAACTAGCAACAGATATGGTCTCTCTGGCTGACAGTGGTGAGGACTTAATTGTGTCTGCCCAAACGCTGTTACCTGTGGATACGAACAGTGCTACAAGCTTTCCCTATGAAGAGCGTATTTCAGGGACCAACTCAAACAACCCCGTGATCTACGGAAGCTGCAATGATTCCCTCCAGAAGCATCCTGCTCTTTACCTTCTCAGTATCTCACGCATTTCAACAACGCAGGGCAGCGCACCCACAGGGGCCTGGCAGAGACCTCACAAGCAGGGGAGAAACAAAACAGGCTTTGTTTCCCAGGAAAAGGGGGCAGGGCGGCTAAAAAAAAAACAAAAAAAAAACCAGAACAGCAGTGCGAAGTTCTTCTCTCCGTGATCAACTACTGAAATCCCAAGGTCTCCTCCACTTTTAACAACATTTCTAGAAGGTAAAGAGAAAACAAAAGTCCTTAAAAAATATGACAGGATTTAAAAAAAATATTCTGTATTTTAAAATTCAGAGTCTGTGCAGCTTGGACTATGAAGTAGTAACTGTTGCAAGTTTCACTTAACAAATCAGTCCTGTCAGCTTTATGATAGCAAGCTATGGTCTCAGCAATTACTGAAAAGACACCACCTTCTCAACACACAGGAGGCCATGCCCCCGGCGGGTCTCTTCCCAGACTTCATCTTCAGGACCTGCATTTTCAAATTTCAGAATGTTTTTAAGACTTCATAATTGCTAACCTCAATCTTGAAATATCACAAAGTATTACAGAACGGACAATCAACCATAAACTTTGGGAAAATACATTCAGTCCTAGTGAGGCCTTCATTAAGCATAAATTTAAAATTGGAACCAGTGTCTGAACTTTTAAAACGTTAACTTACACCCAGTCCCTCATGACTCAAGAAGGCACGTGTTACTTTGTCTACTATTTTACCAAGTCTCAGACACTGCATGCCTCCATATTAGTTTGCTCTTAACATTTAAAAACAAATTTTAGGTTTTGCACATATCTACAAGGATACTCAAGACTATAAAATAACAGACTTGTTAAAAGAAATGAATGCTCTTGATTAAGCTATGTACTGAAATGGCAGTGCTGTGCCAGGAATGATTTCTTAAAAAGTAAGCTTTACTGGGGTGCCTGGATGCCTCAGTCGGTAGAGCGACCAACTCCTGACCTTGGGATTATGGGTTCCAGCCCCATGTTGGGTGTAGAGATTACTTAAAAATAAAATCTCGGGGGCCTGGGTGGCTCAGTCGCTTAAGTGTCTGACTTGGTTTTGGCTCAAGTCAGGATCTCAGAGTTCCCGAGCCTGAGCCTCGTGTAGGGCTCTGGGCCGACAGCTCCAAGCCGGCCTGGGAATGACCCTCTCCCTCTCTCTCTGCCCCTCCCCTGCTCATGCCGTCTCTCTCTCAAAAATAAGTAGACTTAAAAAAAAATAAAATCTTAAAAAATAAGTTTTACTGACCTATGTCACCCTTTTAACGGTTTGTATAGATTCACAGAATTGTGTGGCCATCACCAATTTCAGAACATTTTCATCCCCTGAGAGAGACTGGGCATCCTCAGCACTACACTTCCTGTGCCCCCAACTCCGGGAGACGGTGACAGATTTCCGTCTGCAGATGTGCTGATCCTGGACAGAACGGAGTAAAACAGTACGCGGCCTCTGGGACTGGTGGGTTCCACCGTGCACGTGTTCAAGGTTCAACCATCTTCGCAGCGTGTACCAGCGTGTAGCAGCATCTCCTGTCTTTTGGCTGCCGAGTAACATTCCACCACGTGGATGTAGCACCCTTTTCATCCGTTCATCAACTGACGGGCACCTGTGTCATCTCCACTTCTCGGCTGCTGTGAAGGACACTGCTGAGTACTCGTGTTCAGGTGTCTGTGCAGGTGCACGGTTTCCACTCCTTCTGCATAAACACCTAGGAAAGGACCTGCGAGGCCCTAGTGCGACTGCGTGTCCAACTCAAGGATCTGCCAACACCGTTTTCCAAAACGGCTATATCAGTTTTCAGTCCCCTCAGCACCCAGTGAGGGTTCCAACTTCTCCATAATCCGGTCAACTCTTGCAGAGTCTGTCCTTGATTTTAGCAGTCTGACCGGCTACCAGCCGGCATCTCACTGTGGTTTTTTTAGGTGACAGCAGCTCACCTCCTCCAGACCCCGGCTCCAGGCCCCAGCTCAGGGCTTGGCTGCAGGCTCTGAGCCCCAGGGCCCAGGTCTCATCACAGGCAGGGGGTGGGGAGTCCCTCATCCCTCAGTCCCTCCCTCTCACACTCTGTACTTTGCTCCTTTCCCAAACATCAACCCACGGGCCTCCAAAACTGGGTTTAAGACTTTAAATCTCTAAACTGTTTAAAAAATACTGACAACAAACCATTATTTAGGTCAATTCAACTTCTTTCAAACATCTATCAAGAGACTGGCATGAAAGGGGCTCCTGGGTGGCTCAGTCGGTTAAACGTCTGACTTCAGCTTGCGTCGTGATCTCACGGTTCGTGAGTTGAGCCTTGCACTGGGCTCTGTGCCGACAGCTCGAAGCCTGGAGCCTGCTTCGGATTCTGCATCTGCCCCTCTCACTCTCTGCCCCTCCCCCGCTGAAGCTCTCTCTCTAGCTCTCAAAACATGAGTAAACATTAAAAGGAAAACATTTTTTTTATAAAGATTTTAAGTTTTAAAAATTCCACATGGATAACTCCCGTAAAAAAAAAGACGTTTCTTCACTATGTGATTGCATACGTAAACCACCATCAAATACAAACTACATGCAAACTCACTAACACACGTGTGCTCACCGTTGGTGAGACTGCTTTTATCATCATGGATCAAGTTTTTGGGCACCATCCTCCTGAATGTAACATTAAAAAGCAAAAACCAAACACGATAAAACAGACCACACGTACACAAATAAACAGCAAAACTCCGGTACTGAAATTATTTTGATATTCTATAATCTTCGGCGTTAAAACACTCATTTCAAAAAACAGATATTCATTTCACTAAGTGCTTACTTAAGTTAAGAAAAAGCATAAAATAAGGGTAATAATTGCTAACAATCTCGAACTGTGTTTTAAGTCAGGCTTCACTATGTACACAGCCTGGGTTATTACTTCACATCAGCTTCCATCAGGCTTTTGCCTTTTCTATCAGAGCAGCTTTACAGGAGTTCTCCATTTTAGAAACAAAGCATACCAAAGATGCACCATCTTTAAGGCAGCCAAGCTGAACCCTGCTAATGTAAGCATTTTTAAACTCCTCTGCATCCAGAGACTGAGTGAGGACCAAACTGTTCGACGCAGAACGCCCCCCCCCCCCCCAATCAGGTCTGTTTCCTGGGCATACGCACCACGGGATCAGGCTCGTCTTTAGGTTAAGGGCTAAAGATTTCTCTGTCTCCTCTTCAAAAGTACTTCCCAGCTGTGACCGGAGGGCCAAGCGCTAAACTGAGATGATGCAATAAAAAGTCCAGAAGTGTCTCTGAAACCTCATGGGCTCGAGTCTGTAAGGCTGCTGGGGAGTAGCCTTAAGCAAGGGTCCAAAGCAGTCACTGAAGAACCCACAATCTAGCATCCTTTATTAAATTTTAATTAAGCGCCAGAAATAATTCTCAAAAAGCATCCAGTATAATCTCATCACATGTAAGTCAAGAGAAGTCAGGCACTCTTCCGAGTGAGTTGGGTTATTCTGTGGTACCAGAAAAGCGCAGATCTCGATTCCCAATGGAGCAGGTAACATCTTCTGCATCAGAGCACATTACGGAATAACCACTACACAGTAAGCGGGAGGCTAGCTACCTTCTGTCCTTCTGTGGATGTGAAAACAGGATGTTTGGAAGGCATACAAAAGTTGAGACACACCCTAATTATCTTTCTCAGTGGAACACGCACACATAAAAAAAGACTACCTTGCGTGTTACATTTAAAGAGTCAGTAGTCAAACGGTGTCCAGAGAAGGCGAGCGACCTGGTTGAGATCCCAGAACTCTTAGTGCACGAAAGAAAGAAAGAAAAAATGGACAAGCCACAGTAGGACAGAGAATGCTTCTGGGATTGAACTGTATTCACAAATCTGACGGGAAGTAAATTTCTAGGTACTAGAGGGACACATACTTCCTGGTCATTAGAACTTTCCTTAAATAGAACCAACTGCTAAGCTCCTACTCTAGGGAAAGGTCAACACTGAGGCTGGAAGACAGGTTCTTAAGGACATGATAGAGGTGGCATGATCATCCATCCGGACGGCTTCACACTCCGCTGCCATCGGGCCATCTCTTCTGTAACTGGAAGCCTCCGAGTAATTTCCTCAAGGTGAGTCACAATAGAAATGCATTAACCATTGTCACCTTCTTCCCTCTGAAATGTCCACGTATCAGTGTTGATGAATTAGGGCTGTTCCTAAAGCAGTAACTGCATGAAATCTAAATTTCAAAACACTTCTAGGTCTGAAAAGATCAAGTTCAGATTCCAGTTCTGTCACAGAACTATAGAACCTTGGACAGGTCACAGTTTCCCTACGTCTCAGAGGAACACCTATTTTCTTTCTTTCTTTTTTTTTTTTTAATTTTTTTTTTTTAACGTTTATTTATTTTTGAGACAGAGAGAGACAGAGCATGAACGGGGGAGGAGGGTCAGAGAGAGGGAGACACAGAATCCGAAACAGGCTCCAGGCTCTGAGCTGTCAGCACAGAGCCCAACGCGGGGCTCGAACTCACGGACCGCGAGATCATGACCTGAGCCGAAGTTGGCTGCTTAACCGACTGAGCCACCCAGGCGCCCCATCAGAGGAACACCTATTTTGAGCAATTCTTCGTATGTCTTCCCCCATTATTTTTTTTTAAGCACGTATGTGTTGGTGTGGGGAGTCAACAGCGACTGAGTGGCACTGGTGAGTGAGGGCCAGGGATGCTGAGCGCCCCCAGCCCCAGAATACCACTTTTCACCGCCCAGCTACATCTTAACAAATGAGGGTTAGAGGCATTATAAATTTCTTTCCAGGGCCAAATTTTGGGAGGTTTATCCCTTAAACTTTTTTCATTAGCAACAGTTCTTCTTACCTAAAATACAATGAATTATCTTTTTCCCTCTCTCCTAAGGAGTGAATAATGCAGTCTACAACCCAATAGGTACAATTTGGGATCACCAGGAAAGATTTAAAAGAGTGTAAGGAAAAAAAATACTTTAACGCATGATTATCCAGACACTTGTTTTAGTAAAATTCAAATGGTTAGATGTTGACATTCTATCCACCCAAGACTCCATTCACGGAGATACAGTTCAGTGTCCACGGCCTTCAGTGCATTTTCCTGTGTCCACTAGAGCAGACTTAGGTATTCAGTTGGTCATTAGGTACATTTTCATCAAAAGTAAAGTACCACTTCACTTATTACAACAGCTATCGAGAATATTTGGTGTTAAAAAGAAAAGGTTAATGTATATCTAAAAAGTTAAAATTTTTAATAAACCCCTCATTATTGATGCAAAGATTTAACCTTGATTAAGAAATATGTGCTTGGGGCGCCTTGGTGGCTCAGTTGGTTAAGCGTCCGACTTCGGCTCAGGTCATGATCTCGTGGCTTGTGAGTTCAAGCCCCATGTCCGGCTCTGTGCTGACAGCTCAGAGCCTGGAGCCTGCTTCAGATTCTCTGTCTCCCTCTCTCTCTGCCCCTACCCTGCTCATGCTCTGTCTCTCTCGGTCTCAAAAATAAATAAAACATTAAAATAAAATAAAATAAATAAAAAAGAAATACGTGCTTAACTTTGGCTATGAGTCTTAATACATTATCTATTCTTCCTTTTTTCATTTTAGTTATCTTTATTTTAGGAAATTCCCTCTCTCTCTCTCTCTCTCTCACACACACACACACACACACACACACGCACACCAAGTTTTGGGAAACTGAAACAAAGAACCAAAATCAACATCTGGGTTTTAATTACCTTTGACATTTCTGTGCACGGAATTTCTATGCACAGAACGGTTAGGAATTAAAGACTATTCTGTTTTTGCCACACCAGATTGTTCATTACATCGTTTAAGACTCAAAAGATGTATTTTTTAGCCCAAATCTCTAGTTCCAATGTTCCATTTACACCAAACATGTTTTTTTCCAGTGGTACCATCAGCACCTATTTCCAGAAACACAAATTGCTAACATTATTTAATATGTCCTTTTATATAAACAGTAAGGACAGTAACGTTACACAAAAGATGAGTCCCCTGATTATTAGTGTTTTGGAGATCTTTCATTCTAAAAAGAAATGATATTTTTGTGTGTTTTCATTAGGGCTTTTACCAGACACTATTCATAGGACTCTTACATAACAAGGAAATGTTTAAAACTTGAGACTCTTCATGTTTACAATACATTTACATATTTAAAATCCCCAGGAAAGAGTCATTATATGAAGTAATGTAACAGCCTACATAATATTCAGGCACCAATTCCTAATTGGATTAATTCAAAATTCCTGATAGGAATCCTTAAAAACAAACAAAACCCCTTCTTTTCTCAAAGCCAATAAGTATCAGGGAATCCTTACTGTCAGCGATGTCACTTCATGATTTGTTACAAATTACTAGTAAGTTCTCTAAAATAAGTAAATGTCAAAAATGTATAGTTTTTAAATGTTAAAGAAAATCGGATGAAAGAAAAGCAATCCACAAATTACTCTTTAATTTCCTAAAGTCATATGGATAATTTATTAACTTTCTGCAGGAAGGAGGACGGACACAGGATTCTAAAATGTAAGAGGCTGGTGTCTGAAGAAGGGAAGGGATGTCAAGCTCACACAGCTTACACAGAGGTGGATCCTTCTATTCCACAACGTCACAAGAGAAGATTAACTTGACCCAAGCTAAACACAGGTAAATAATACAGATTTGGGGAGTGCAGGAAAGCAACCTCACAACCACGAAAACAAGAACCCACCGTTTGTACGTGCACAGCTCAAAGGGTCAGAAAGCGGGCAATCTGTATTTTTCTGGCAGAGATAAAACCCACTCCTGTCCCGAACCTCAGACTTCATGAGCACCCCTGCACTCAGCAGCCTGGCTCTAACCGCCAGAGCCCCAGCCTGGAGAAGCCCCCGCCCCCCCGTTACACTGGGGCTCTGACTGAAAAGGTCTGGAACAGATTAAAAGGCAGGCCACAAAATAAAAAGCTCTGGCAGGCTATCAAGCCTGTCTGGAAGACACACACACAGTGGGCCCAAACAGGGAAACTATGGGCAGTAAGAGAATTTTATGGAACTTTTCTTTGGAATATGCAATTGAATGTGCTGAAGGCAGGGTGGGAGAATTGTTTTCAGTACTCTTCCTTACTCAAAACAAAAGACCAAGCTCTGTGCATAATTAATGCATCTACCTAGGGTCACGGTCAAGTTGCTTTATTTCACTATTTTAACTGAAAGCACTTACAGAAAAAAACAAAGCAAAAACAACAACAACAACAACTTTGTCCCAATTCCTGATTTCTGGAGTTAGCCAAGAGTTAATTATCATCTTTCATAACCTTATGTTGGGGGGGTAGGGGTGGGGGGGGAAACCAAAGACCACTTAAAAAAAAAAAAAATCTCCGGGGCGCCTGGGTGGCTCAGTTGGTTAAGCGGCCGACTTCAGCTCAGGTCATGATCTCGTGGTCTGTGAGGGCTGTGAGTTCGGGCCCCGCGTCGGGCTCTGTGCTAACAGCTCAGAGCCTGGAGCCTGTTTCGGATTCTGTGTCTCCCTCTCTCTGACCCTCCCCCGTTCATGCTCTGTCTCTCTCTGTCTCAAAAATAAATAAATGTTAAAAAAAAAAAAAAAATCTCCAAAATGTGGACAAGCTGAATCCATTTCATTAAATATGACTTAAGGAAACATGGCTGTTATTGCTCCAGTCCATACAAATGGCAACATTTATTAAAATTCTCTACCTTACTCGGTTTCCTATTTCAACCACAAGTCTTACTGAAGTATTAAATAAAATCTGAAGTTGCAAATTATTAACATGCCACATTACTTTTTTAACACCCAAACAGACTCTGAAGCTCAAAAGTCTAACACTGAAGCCGAGCGGCTATCTGTCAAAAGGACAGTCTGTTCTCTGATCCACCTTGGCTTCGTGTGAACAGGGGGTCCCAACTAGCCCACCAATGACCAGTCAGCTTGGGGGGAACCCAGATGCTGGAGGTTTCTGAAGGTATACATACAGACATAGCCAAACCGTTCACAATGTTTCTGAGAGGGAAGTAATTTTACCCAAGAAGCTCTGGGCAGAGTTTCTTTTCCCCCCAGGATTGTGTTTTGAAGGCATTCACAGAGTTAATTCCTCCTTCCCGTAAGAGTCTCCACAGTTGTTGTTAGGTCAACCCCGCAGAGCTTCAAAAGCCCCACACTCCTCAGTCTGACCTACTCGATGATCTGCACGTTGTTTTCATTTAGCTGTATCCAGTCCAAAATGCAAACTTCAAAACCACAATGCTTTGCTCCTTTTTAGATTCAGTTTTCCGTGGCTTTGGAAGAGTGTCTCAGAAACCCCACTGAAACAATAGAACAGCGGAAAAACACGGGATAAAAAGGCACTAAAGAGGTTGTATATGATTATCTGAATGTGAATGTGTGCATTTGGGAGGGGAGTGTTCCTTTGTGCAGAGGGTGATTTAGAAGGGAATACGGCTTTGCTTTTTTGTTTCCTGAATAAAAAACTAAGGAACCTTCCTTAAAAAAAAGAAAGCCAGTCAGAGGGAGAACAGAGAAAATGCCTTCACTGGCGCCTCCCCAGGGTGACAGCTCCAGCCCAGCGGAGGACAGAAAACCAGACAGCCTCCGGCACAGGCCAACTCCTCGCTGCAGGTGCACAGAAGCAGACACTGGGTCAGGACCAAAGCCGGCATCCCAGGCCTTAGAGCACTGTGGCAGCCTGACTAGCACTGCAGTTAGAAAGACCATTCTACGCACATTCACTGCGTCGCTCAAAGGGTGAAAGGAGCAGGACTCTGGTTAGTAAGCTGCCACAAGCCGTCCCACCCCACCCCCAGCCCAGGCGCCCAGGCGCCCAGGCTGCAGAGCAGACTCACACCTGCATGTGTCAGGTGCAGAGTGAACATATGTAAGGAGGTATAAAAGCAGGACTGGAAAAGCTGGCTGGGCAGTCCTCCTGTTCAATACTAGAAAGCAACGCAATTTTATTTCAGGGGATGTTCCCAAATTCTCTCACACACACACACACACACACACACACACACACACACTTATCAAAAATATCTAAAAAAGGTTTTGAGTTGAACCTTTACCAAAACGAGGGTCAAGCCTCGGGTCTAGCCAAGAGGTGGTCTTGTTCTTATGGTTTATATAGTAGATTTCTCCATCCTGAGTCATGGCTTGTTCCCATCCGTCAGGCAGAGGACCTATAAATACAGAAAGAAAAAAAAAAAATCACCGTTGGTTTTTACTTGGTAGAAACAAAAAAACAAGGGGGAGGGTGGG